AGTATCTTATATATGACTAAGACATGTCTTACGATGGTCTTAGGACAGGTCATAGTCGTAAGATATGTTTTCGAAAGTGTCCCAAGTTGTGAAATGTCACAACTTTTATCGTAAACTTAAGATACATCGGGACATGACTTATGATGGTCTTATGATTATCATAAAAGTTACGATCTATCTTCCACTGTTCTAAGGTGATCAATGCCAGTTGATCTTTGCACATGCAGCCTCCCATGCACTCTTTTTGACACTGTTTGTTGTTGTGTTGCTCAGTTTGCTAAATAGTTAAAATTTATTTATTTTCTCCACTTCGTCAATTCAAAATTGAATCTCCTGTGACGTAAAATCTGTACTCAGGCCTTTTCTTACTCATGATTATGTTTAATAAATAGATATATATTGTTTCTTTCCTTATAAAGTAGTTTATTAACGTATTTGCACGGGCATTTCGTTAAGCGGGTACTCGATATACTAAATCTTAAAAGTATTCACAACTAAATAACACATCATGTATAATTATACATGAACGGGCGAAGTTCTAAAATTTGTTATATACAAACTAAATGTAATCAAATTATCAACTCAGATTTTTATTCCTTTTCATATATATTTTCATGTTCATTATAATGAAAAAAATAAAATATTCGTAAATAATAAGAATGGTAATAATAATTATCTTCATACTTATTTTTTTATAGTTATTTTTATCATTTTTAATCTTTATTTGAAATAAAAGAAAATATGTTCACTTATGACAGTCATAAGAGCATCATAGGTATGACTATCTTGGGACAGCTTTGATTTACATTCTATGACATATCATATGATAGTCATACGATGGTCATAATTTGTCCTAAGATATATCTTATGACATATCTTAGGATACTTTCGAAAACCAGGGGCCTGTTTATCGAAGCTGTCCTAGGATTTGTCCTAAGACCTCTCTTAGGAATAAATAAGAATAATTTTAGGACCGACTTACGACATGTCTCAGCATGCACACCGAAGCTATCTTAGGACTATCTTAGCTAGGATGTCATAACCGCTGTCCTAAGTGTTAGCGTAAAGAAAAATAGGAATTTAAAATATTTAAATGTTTGAGAATGCATTGAATTTCACCAATAGTAAATATTTACAAGATTTAAAATTAAAAATAGTATTAGTATTATCATAAAGAAAATAAATAATATTTATCTAAATAATGGTACATTCAAACTTTATGAAACAAAAACAAAAACGCAAAAAATGTAACAACGTTTTATATAATAATTGAAACAAATGTTTGTAAACAGCAGTAACAATGAAAACTAATAAAAGACAATCGGAAACAATCATATATATTTTTGAGTGAGTTTAATTCGAAGTGTCACGGTTTTATACTTTACAGAGTTCAAAGGCGAATCTCGTGCATCTTTCATAAAAATAAGGAATACATAAATTGTTTCATTACGGATCACATGCGCTTGGGTAATGGACCCCCCTTTTCTAAACTTTTTTTCAAAGTAAATATTCTTTGATATTTTAACTTATGTACATTTTTTTTTTTTTTATTTTTTTTTTATATATATACGATGCCCCTCTATTCTTATTGTCCACGTTGAAAATATTAATAGAATGGTGTCATATATATACTACTGTTTTTGTAATATCTTTTGGATAAGAGCAAGAACACATTAAATAAGTGAAAATAGAAAAATATTTAGAAAAAGGGGGATCCATATATAGGTGGCAATCGTATTTATTTACAAATAAACCATCATAAAATATATCCTAAAAGTAGGACCATCCTAAGGCCATCTTAAGACACCTATTTAGGTGTCCTAAAGTTAGGACGATTCCTACGACTTTTCCTAAGTTACGACGTGTTTGATAAACGCACTTAGGACAAAGATACGTCCTAAGTTGATCTTAGGACATGTCCTAGTCCTAAGAGCGCTTCGATCAACAGGCCCCAGGCCCCTGGTCTGTATTTTCAGTGAGTATTTTTTCAATAAACATCTTAGAAATTCTAGCTTTTACTTCCAATCCATATTAAACAAATACAAATAATATGATGTAGCCAATGATATCAAGTATGTTCTCAAAATTTCATTTTGACATATATTTCCGAAAGAATATAATAACATACACACAAATGCGCATGCATTTCAAAATTTTCTTCATTGAAATGAAAAACATTACATATTAATTCCGTATCATTTTCATAAGTGCACTGTACATCGTATTTTCTTACTAACATTTATTAAGATAACAACCAATAATATCATTATACTAATTTATAATAATCCCCAATCCTTTTCTTCTGTTTGTTTCTTCCATTTTGTTTAACATCGGAATATTACACCATTCCTGTGATATTTGTTGCCGCCGCTTGTAGGCGGATGCTAATTTTAAATTATATACATCGAAATAATGGCAATATATTGAGTCTTGTTGTTTTCCAAGATATTATTTAAATAGGTATGTGTTCTTTACTTGGAATACATTTCCAGAATTGAAAAGGCCATGTATATTGTATGTTTTCTAAGCCTTTTCCAGATTGTAATGGATTGATATTACATTCATCAATTTTAAATTACTTGAGACAACTGCTAAAAATTTCATGTATCTTCATCAAAAAACTGCCACAACAATTACTTATGCAATAAAGTGAACTAAGATGTAGAATTAACTTTTGTTTTATTTAAGTATCTTATTCCGGCCTCGTTTAACGTTAGTAGTATAAAATCATTTGATTTGGTTATCACTTATTAGTTATCTTAATTCTGATATATATATACATTTCTAAATTATAATATATCCATATAATATATATATATATATATATACATATCAATAAAGAATTAATGGCAACAACAAAACATATGTATTACTTACAGCATTCATTACAGCTCACAAGGATGTTTTTGTTTTTGTTTATTGCATTTTTACAATTAACTATGAGAAACATAAATGTAGTTATAAACATAGACAAAACAACAAACAGACACAAAAAACTTATAACAATATTAAATTTGTAAGATTTATGGTGATGCGGATAAGGTAAAAAAAAAGTGCAAAGTGAGAGTACAATAATGTACCTAGTATTTTATAATAAAAACTTTTCTAGTATTGGAAGCCAGGGGCCTGGTTTTCGAAAGTATCGTAAGATATGTCATAAGATATATCTTAGGACAAATCTTATGACCATCTTATGACTATATGTCACATGATGTAAATCAAAGCTGTACTAAGATAGTCATACCTGTGATGCTCTTATGACTGTCATAAGAACATATTTTCTTTTATTTTAAATAAATTAAATGATTAAAAAATGATAAAAAGAATATAAAAATAATAAGTATGAAGATAATTATTATTACCATTCTTATTATTTACGAATATTTTCTTTTTTTCATTTAAATGAACATGAAATAATATATGAAAAGTAATTAAAATCTGAGTGGATAATTTGTTTAAATTTAGTTTGTATATAAAATAAATCTTGAACTTCGCGTTTATGTATTATCATACATGAAGTGTTATTTGATTGTGAATACTTTTTAGATTCGGTACATCGAGTACCCGCTTAATGAAATGCCCGTGCAAATACGTAAATAAAGTACTATATAAGGAAAGAAATAATATGTGTCGGTTAGTGTATGGAAAGGTATATACTATGAAATTTAGAGCGAGGGGCTTGCCCCGAGCTCTTAATTTCATAGTATATACCTTTCCATACACTATCCAATTTAGCACATATTTACAACTTGAGTAATCCTGTAATTAGTCTATTGATATGTTTTGGCTGACTAAGTGTAGCTCATTTACGTAGTTTTGTAAATCTACTCACTAGTATCATTGTAAAATATTGAATCCAGAATGAAAAGATGGTAGCTGCTGGTGTAAGTATGTTTATTGACATAAAGCGGTTTTTTTTTATACATGTACTTCTTCACATGGTAAGATGACAAAATAAATTGACTAAAAGCAGGCAATAATTAAATTGCAATGGAAGCTTTACATTCTTGAAAACATTTTTTTCAATTTCACATAAAAACTAAAACTATAATAAATTTTACACATATAGATAGTTTGCAGTGGCGGATCCAAAAAGGGGGAGGGGGAGTTCAGGAGGGGGATGGAAAACGCCCTTTTTGTGATGATCAATGCTTTTGAATGAGAACATACAGTTGGACCCCCCCCCCCCTCCCTTTATTTCGGGTTGGAACCCCTTTTAAAAATGACTGGATTTGCCCTGGTATGTACCCATAGGTAGTCTAGTGGATAGTTTTCATGCATGAAATATTTGTCACTGGACATTTAGCAACCAATAATCAATCAATTCATATCGAAATAGATCAAATTGCTTTAATTTCCCTTCACAAGGTTTCGTGGTTCACTCTTTTTTGTGTACAAAGTAATTGCATGGAAGATAAATGATTACAATTTTCAGATGGCTTTGTACTCTAATCAAGGTATAAAAAATCATATTTGTTACTCTTTATTTAAATGAAAGAAACTTTTAAACGTCAAAAACATTTTTAGATCCTAAGATTAAATAGTAGGATGTTAAAAAATCAATTTGAAAACTAATTACAAACTATTTAGTTTAATTTGGAACACAGCGTTTATTTCAAAATAGCCAGTAGCAATTTTTTTTTAATATCTTGATTACGATACAATGAAATCTTACCCTTGTGGTCATTCATGCGTAGTTACTTAGTACATGGAAAAAGTATGTACTATGAAAATTAGAAGGCAAATATAAGCAATTTGATTGGACGAGAAGTTGTAAGTATGTGCTAAGTATAGTTATTTTACAAAATCATGAGTAAGAAAAGGAGTCCAAATTTTACGTCGCAGGAATTTCAAATTTTGATTGCAAAGTGGAGAAGAATAAATCTTTACTATTTTGCCGACTGAGCAACAAAACTATTATTAGGTCTTTCCACCTTTCCGTGGAAAGACCTTTTGATTTTGTTCTGATTATTATTAGGTCTTTCCACTTTACCGATTATTATTATTATTATTATTAGGTCTTTCCACTTTTCTGTGGAAAGACCTATTGTATTTGTTCTGATTATTATTATTAGGTCTTTCCACTTTTCTGTGGAAAGACCTATTGTATTTGTTCTGATTATTATTATTATTTTTTTTTTTTTTTTTTTCTTCCGCCAAATTTTGTTCTTGCGATAAATGTTTGTTTCGCAATATGTCGCTTAGATATTTCTCATATTGTATCGTATAGTTTATGCGCTTTTAAATTTCACCCTGCTAAGCCGAACCATTTTCTTTGTAAGAGTTATCTCCCTATTCACTGTTTATCATCTGTGTGCATCTCCTTCGTAACAAAAAAAGATATCGACAAAATTCTTTTTACAAATTGTTCGTTACATCCTCAGGAATTTTTGGCTAATTTGGATCAAAGCGATTTGATGAAATTTTATAGGAGTTATCTACCTTTATCAAATAAATTTGTCGTTATGTTTTTGTTACTCATAAACTGTAAGCCGTATAAACCTATAGTCTTTTTATTTAAGGTCCTTGGATCCTAACTTCGAAAATGAGGTCAAGGTCAAAGGTCAAGGTCATGTTCTGAATTTTGTCTTTTGCTTGTTTTTGCATTTCCCCCGATATTTTTAATGTTATATATTAAAGAACAAGTGCAAAATGTTTGTTATATTGTGATGAAGATATGATACATTTGGTCTGAGACAATCCAGCGACATCTTATTGGAGTTATTGCCCCTGAAATGTTTTATTTTAAGGTAAATTGATTATTACTTCATATTGGTACATGATAAAGCCATAAGATCTTTTGCAAAATGTTGGGTGACATATGACCTTGAAAAATGTCAACCGGAAGTGACCTTGAGTGAACCGGAAGTAGTCATTTTTGCACTTATTTCATGTAGAAGTACATAGAAACCATATATTTTTTGAATGGTCTATCATTTGAGACCGGAAGTGATATTTTATAACCGGAAGTAGCATATTATCTCCCTTTTTACAGGCAAAAGTATATGTAAACCATATATCTTTGGAATCAGTGTAAATAAAGCTATCATATGAGACCGAAAGTGACATTTTCTAAACCGGAAGTAGCCAATTATCTCCCTTTTTACAGGCAAAAGTATATATAAACCATATATTTTTGGAATCAGTGTAAATAATCTATCATATGAGACCGGAAGTGACATTTTCTAAACCGGAAGTAGCCAATTATCTCCCTTTTTGACAGGCAAAAGTATATATAAACAATATATTTTTGGAATCAGTGTAAATAAAGCTATTATATGAGACCGGAAGTTACATTTTCTATACCGGATGTTGACAATTATCTCCCTTATTTCAGGCAAAAGTCTATAGAAACCATGTTTATTGAATCAGTATGAAGAAACCTATGATTGGACGCCAATAGTAGCTTTGAGTAAACCAGAATTATCTTCTCATCAATTATTTAGAAAATTGATGTGGAAAGACCTTCAATTGTTCTTTGAACAATTGGTTTTTAATTATTATTATTATTATTATTTTTTTTTTTTTTTCTTCCGCCTAATTTTGTTCTTGAGATAAATATTTGTTTCGCAATATGTCCCTTAGATATTTCTCATATTGTATCGTATAGTTTATGCGCTTTTAAATTTCACCCTGCTAAGACGAACAATTTTCTTTGTAAGAGTTATCTCCCTATTCACTGTTTATCGAGTGTGTGCATCTCCTTCGTAACAAAAGAAGATATCGACAAAATTCTTTTTCTAAATTGTTCATTACATCCTCAGGAATTTTTGGCTAATTTGAATTGAAGCGATTCGATGAAATTTTATAGGAGTTATCTACCTTTACCAAAAAAATTTGTCGGTATGTTTTTTTAACTCATAAACCTTTAACCGTATAACCCTGAAATGTTTTTATTTGAGGCCCCTAGGTCCTAACTTAGAAAATGAAGTCAAGCTCAAAGGTCAAGGTCAAGTTCTAAATTTTGACTTTTCCTTGTTTTTGCATTTTCTCAAACACTTTTAAAAGATATATATAAAAGAACAAGTGCAAAATGTTTGCTTTATTGTAATGAAGATATGTTACATTTGGTTTGAAACAATCTAATGGCATATAATAGGAGTTAGTGCACCTGAAATGTCTAATTATAAGGTTAATTGATTATTACTTCATCTTGGTTCATTATAAAGCCATATGACCTTTAACAAAATGTTTGGTGACATATGACCTTGAAAAATGTCAACCGGAAATGACCTTGAGAAAACCGGAAGTAGCCTTTTTTGCACTTTTTTCATAAAAAAGTACTCAGAATCCATATATTTTGTAATATACATACATAAACTTATCACCAAAGACCAGAAGTGACTTTTGATAAACCGGAAGTGGCCAATTATCTTCTGTTTTACATGCAAAAGTATATAGAAACTATATATTTTTGGAATCAGTGTAAACGAAGCTATCAAATGAGACCGGAAGTGACGTTTAATTCACCGGAAGTAGCACATTATCTCCCTTATTTCACTCAGTATATAGAAACAATTCATTTATCGCATCAGTTTGAAGAAACTTATGATTTGATACCAATTTTAACTTTGAGTAAACCGGAACTAGCTTCTTTTCAATAACTATGAAAATTTATGTGGAAAGACCTTCAATTGTTCTCTGAACAATTGGTTTTTAATTAGGTCTTTCCACTTTTCTGTGGAAAGACCTATTGTATTTGTTCTGATTATTAGGTCTTTCCACTTTTCTGTGGAAAGACCTATTGTATTTGTTCTGATTATTATTATTATTATTTTTTTTTTTTTTCCGCCAAATTTTGAAATTTTTGTTTCGCAATATGTCGCTTAGATATTTCTCATATTGTATCGTATAGTTTATGCGCTTTTAAATTTCACCCTGCTAAGCCAAACAATTATCTTTGTAAGAGTTATCTCCCTATTCACTGTTTATCAAGTGTGTGCATCTCCTTCGTAACAAAAAAAGATATCGACAAAATTCTTTTTCTAAATTGTTCGTTACATCCTCAGGAATTTTTGGCTAATTTGGATCGAAGTGATTCGATGAAATTTTATAGGAGTTATCTACCTTTCTGAAATAAATTTGTCGTTATGTTTTTGTTACTCATAAACTGTAAGCCGTATAAACCTATAGTCTTTTTATTTAAGGTCCTTGGATCCTAACTTCGAAAATGAGGTCAAGGTCAAAGGTCAAGGTCATGTTCTGAATTTTGTCTTTTGCTTGTTTTTGCATTTTCTCCGATATTTTTAATGTTATATATTAAAGAACAAGTGCAAAATGTTTGTTATATTGTGATGAAGATATGATACATTTGGTCTGAGACAATCCAGCGACATCTTATTGGAGTTATTGCCCCTGAAATGTTTTATTCTAAGGTAAATGGATTATTACTTCATATTGGTACATGATAAAGCCATAAGATCTTTTGCAAAATGTTGGGTGATATATGACCTTGAAAAATGTCAACCGGAAGTGACCTTGAGTGAACCGGAAGTAGTCATTTTTGCACTTATTTCATGTAGAAGTACATAGAAACCATATTTTTTTTGAATGTCATAAATTAATCTATCATTTGAGACCGGGAGTGATATTTTATAAACCGGAAGTAGCATATTATCTCATTTTTTACAGGCAAAAGTATATATAAACCATATATTTTGGAATCAGTGTAAATAAAGCTATCATATGAGACCGAAAGTGACATTTTCTAAACCGGAAGTAGCCAATTATCTCCCGTTTTACAGGCAAAAGTATATATAAACCATATATTTTTGGAATCAATGTAAATAAATCTATCATATGAGACCAGAAGTGACATTTTCCAAACCGGAAGTAGCCAATTATCTCCCTTTTTACAGGCAAAAGTATATATAAACCATATATTTTTGGAATCAGTTTAAACAAAGCTATCATATGAGACCGGAAGTGACATTTTCTAAACCGGATGTTAACAATTATCTCCCTTATTTCAGGCAAAAGTCTATAGAAACCATGTTTATTGAATCAGTATGAAGAAACCTATGATTGGACGCCAATAGTAGCTTTGAGTAAACCAGAATTATCTTCTCATTAATTATTTAGAAAATTGATGTGGAAAGACCTTCAATTGTTCTTTGAACAATTGGTTTTTAATTATTATTATTATTATTTTTTTTTTTTTTTTTTTTCCCCCAACTTTTGAAATTTTTGTTTCGCAATATGTCGCTTAGATATTTCTCATATTGTATCGTATAGTTTATGCGCTTTTAAATTTCACCCTGCTAAGCCGAACAATTATCTTTGTAAGAGTTATCTCCCTATTCACTGTTTATCAAGTGTGTGCATCTCCTTCGTAACAAAAAAAGATATCGACAAAATTCTTTTTCTAAATTGTTCGTTACATCCTCAGGAATTTTTGGCTAATTTGGATCGAAGCGATTCGATGAAATTTTATAGGAGTTATCTAACTTTCTGAAATAAATTTGTCGTTATGTTTTTGTTACTCATAAACTGTAAGCCGTATAAACCTATAGTCTTTTTATTTAAGGTCCTTGGATCCTAACTTCGAAAATGAGGTCAAGGTCAAAGGTCAAGGTCATGTTCTGAATTTTGTCTTTTGCTTGTTTTTGCATTTTCTCCGATATTTTTAATGTTATATATTAAAGAACAAGTGCAAAATGTTTGTTATATTGTGATGAAGATATGATACATTTGGTCTGAGACAATCCAGCGACATCTTATTGGAGTTATTGCCCCTGAAATGTTTTATTCTAAGGTAAATGGATTATTACTTCATATTGGTACATGATAAAGCCATAAGATCTTTTGCAAAATGTTGGGTGATATATGACCTTGAAAAATGTCAACCGGAAGTGACATTGAGTGAACCGGAAGTAGTCATTTTTGCACTTATTTCATGTAGAAGTACATAGAAACCATATTTTTTTTGAATGTCATAAATTAATCTATCATTTGAGACCGGGAGTGATATTTCATAAACCGGAAGTAGCATATTATCTCATTTTTTACAGGCAAACGTATATATAAACCATATATTTTTGGAATCAGTGTAAATAAAGCTATCATATGAGACCGAAAGTGACATTTTCTAAACCGGAAGTAGCCAATTATCTCCCTTTTTACAGGCAAAAGTATATATAAACCATATATTTTTGGAATCAGTGTAAATAAATCTATCATATGAGACCAGAAGTGACATTTTCCAAACCGGAAGTAGCCAATTATCTCCCTTTTTACAGGCAAAAGTATATATAAACCATATATTTTTGGAATCAGTGTAAACAAAGCTATCATATGAGACCGGAAGTGACATTTTCGAAACCGGATGTTAACAATTATCTCCCTTATTTCAGGCAAAAGTCTATAGAAACCATGTTTATTGAATCAGTATGAAGAAACCTATGATTGGACGCCAATAGTAGCTTTGAGTAAACCAGAATTATCTTCTCATTAATTATTTAGAAAATTGATGTGGAAAGACCTTCATTTGTTCTTTGAACAATTGGTTTTTAATTATTATTATTATTATTATTTTTTTTTTTTTTTTCCCCAACTTTTGAAATTTTTGTTTCGCAATATGTCGCTTAGATATATCTCATTTTGTATCGTATAGTTTATGCGCTTTTAAATTTCACCCTGCTAAGCCGAACAATTATCTTTGTAAGAGTTATCTCCCTATTCACTGTTTATCAAGTGTGTGCATCTCCTTCATAACAAAAAAAGATATCGACAAAATTCTTTTTCTAAATTGTTTGTTACATCCTCAGGAATTTTTGGCTAATTTGGATCGAAGCGATTCGATGAAATTTTATAGGAGTTATCTACCTTTCTGAAATAAATTTGTCGTTATGTTTTTGTTACTCATAAACTGTAAGCCGTATAAACCTATAGTCTTTTTATTTAAGGTCCTTGGATCCTAACTTCGAAAATGAGGTCAAGGTCAAAGGTCAAGGTCATGTTCTGAATTTTGTCTTTTGCTTGTTTTTGCATTTTCTCCGATATTTTTAATGTTATATATTAAAGAACAAGTGCAAAATGTTTGTTATATTGTGATGAAGATATGATACATTTAGTCTGAGACAATCCAGCGAAATCTTATTGGAGTTATTGCCCCTGCAATGTTTTATTTTAAGGTAAATTGATTATTACTTTATATTGGTACATGATAAAGCCATAAGATCTTTTGCAAAATGTTGGGTGACATATGACCTTGAAAAATGTCAACCGGAAGTGACATTGAGTGAACCGGAAGTAGTCATTTTTGCACTTATTTCATGTAGAAGTACATAGAAACCATATATTTTTTGAATGGTCATACATTAATCTATCAGTTGAGACCGGAAAAGATATTTTATAAACCGGAAGTAGCATATTATCTCCCTTATTACAGGCATAAGTATATATAAACCACATATTTTTGGAATCAGGGTAAATAAAGCTATCATATGAGACCGGAAGTGACATTTTCTATACCGGAAGTAGCATATTATCTCCCTTATTACAGGCATAAGTATATTTAAACCATATATTTTTGGAATCAAGGTAAATAAGCTATCATATGAGACCGGAAGTGACACTTTCTAAACCGGAAGTAGCCAATTATCTCCTTTTTTACAGGCAAAACTATATATAAACCATATATTTTTGGAATCAGTGTAAATAAATCTATCCCATGAGACCGTAAGTTAAAATTTCTAAACCGGAAGTAGCCAATTATCTCACTTTTTACAGGCAAAAGTATATATAAACCATATATTTTTGGAATCAGTGTAAATAAAGCTATCATATGAGACCTGAAGCGGCAATTTCTAAACCGGAAGTTGACAATTATCTCCCTTATTTCAGGCAAAAGTCTATAGAAACCATATGTTTATTGAATCAGTATGAAGAAACCTATGATTGGACGCCAATAGTAGCTTTGAGTAAACCAGAATTAGCTTCTCATCAATTATTTAGAAAATTGATGTGGAAAGACCTTCAATTGTTCTTTGAACAATTGGTTTTTAATTATTATTTATTTTTTTTTCCGCCAACTTTTGAAATTTTTGTTTCGCAATATGTCGCTTAGATATTTCTCATATTGTATCGTATAGTTTATGCGCTTTTAAATTTCACCCTGCTAAGCCGAACCATTTTCTTTGCTTGTGTTATCTCCCTATTCACTGTTTATCATCTGCGTGCATCTCCTTCGTGTCACAAAAATATATCGACAAAATTCTTTTTCTAAATTGTTTGTTACATCCTTAGGAATTTTTGCCTAATTTGGATCGAAGCGATCCAGTGAGATCTTAAAGGAGTTATCTGCCTTTACCAAATTAATTTGTCGTTATGTTTTTGTAACACGTAAACCGTAAGCTGTATAAAAAAAATTTGACCAAAATGTTAGTCGCGACATGATATAACTGAAAAGTTTTTGTCAAAATGGTACGCGTCATTGTTTTAGGGGTTCCATGCCACTGAAATAGTAAAATGAACAAAATGAACTAATTATAGCCTCAAACTTTGCAGTTATCATGATGTATACATGCATCTTATCTTAATTTATCAACCAAGGTCCACCATCCTCCAACTCCCCCCCCCCCCCCCCCCCCCCCTTTTTTTTTCTTCTACTTTGAGGAATCCCATTTCGCCTTGAAGTTCAGTCCTGTACATTTTACTGTAAAAATGCAATCCTTCTGATGTACAAACTTCTTAAATAGAAATTTATTCCTGCAAAAATCGGCTCTAATTCATGTTCCCGTTAGACGCGGTCCGCTTGATTGAGAAATAAAATTCAATGACGTAGGAAAATCGTAAATATTGCTGAAATCCTACAATCAAATTTTTTAATCATGCATTAAAATACAAATCTGTGCTCCCGTAAACATGTGTACGTAAGATGCATGCATGATCCGTCATCAATGACCTGTAAATAATAAAACCAATAGTGATCATGTTTGTCCGATCAGTACACATGTGCTCTGTTCAACGGTCTCCCCTGAAAAGAAATTGACATATATATTCGAGGGTCACGTGACTTCACAACACCATCTCGCGCGCGGACCTAAATTGAGAATAAAACATTCCATATCCAAATAAGGAAAACAAAACTTCCAAGATAAAATTTACTCCGTTTTCCTACAAATTCAATCAAAATGCATACACAACAAATAGATGAAAAATGGAAGTCCGAGGTAAGATAGAAACTAGAGAAAATTTATAAACGAATGATGCTAGGATCAATTTTTATGAGGACATCTCAGGCGTCCGTTTGGCTGTGTGGGATGTATAAAGTACGCAGTCACGTTCGGTCAGAATATAGTTGTTATTTAAGTTAGCTGCGTCGCACAGAGAAAGTGCCATGCAATCTATCAATCAATCAATCAATCAATCAATCAATCAATCGACCGACCGACCGACCGACCAACCAACCAACCAACCAAGCAAAAAACCAATTAATCATGTTTCGGAGGGGAGAGACCGTTTAACAATTGTTTTTAAAACAATTGATTTATATTTATTAGGTCTTTCCACTTTTCTGTGGAAAGACCTATTGGTTTTCTTCTGATTATTATTATTATTTTTTTCTTCTTCCGCCACTTTTTTCTGACGGTGCTTTTTTGTTTCGCAAGATGTCGCTTAGATTTTTTGTGTATGATATCGAACAGTTATTGCGATTTTCAAACTGACCCTGTTTAGCCGAATACTTTTTATTGTAAGAGTTATCTCCCCAAACACTGTTTTTCTTGTGTACACATCTCCTTCGCAACCGTAAAAGATTATGACAAATTTATGTCTCCAATTTGTTCGTTATATCCTCAGGATCTTAAGAATAATTTTAACCGAAGCAATCCAGAAACTCCATATGAGAGTTATTTCCCCTTCTGTATTTAAAATAAGTAAAATGTAATTGTAATTGGTAAACCATAAGTGATAGGGACCTAGGTTCTTTTGATTTGAGGTCCTTGGTCCAAAAAAAAGAAAATAGGGTCAAGGTCAAAGGTCAAGGTCATTTTAAATTTGGATTTTGGCTTATTTTCACCTCTTTTCAAACATGATATAAATTATCGACAACATATTTTTACTTAATTGTTAGTTGCAACATGTCGTAACACATACATATCGGTTTAAAGGCTACGCTTACATCAAATTAGAGTTTTCTCCCCTCTTTTATTCAAAAATATGCATATAATGATATAACTCATGAACCAAATATAATTAAGACCTAGGGTCTTTTGATTTGAGGTCCTTGGTTGATGACCTTGAAATTGAGCTCAAGTTTATAGGTTAAATTCACGTTCTATATCTGTACCTTTGCTTTTACCTCATATGTATACATGATAAATTCATGGGTCTTTTTGCATTAGGTTTGAAGCCATTTAACCTTAGAAAAGCCGACCGGAAGTGACCTTGTGTAAACCGGAAGTAGCTTTTTTTTTTGTACTTAATGTAAAAGTTTATAGAACCAGATATTTTTGGTATAAGTGTCAATTAAACGTTTGAATAATACCGGAAGTAACATTTTTCAAACCGGAAGTAACAAATTATCTCCCTTATTTAAAAAATATTGTATAGAAACCATATGTTTTTGGAATCAGCGTACAATAAGCTATCATTTGACGCTGGAAATGACATTTTAAACCAAATTTTACTATTTTCATTAAAATACATGTTTTATT